TCACTGCTCATCCGCACTCGGAGGCATCCGGAGGAGCCGAGGGGCAGCCTGATCCCAGCCCGGAGAGGGGCAGCTCGGGGACCCCCGTCGCCAGCCCCGCCGCTGCCCCAGCGCCCGCCGCCTCTCCCCCCAGCGAGGAGGATGAGGGCAGCCGAGGCAGCCAGCTTCCACATTCACGCTGAGCTGGGTCCTTGCCGGAGGTCTTCCAGGCAGAGGTGCTGACCCCGTACACTTCTGAGCAGGGTAACGCACACACTGGGTATGGATGTCTTCCATGAGCTACCAACTTTGCATGTGTAGACTCCAGTCTGTAAAAGTGAAATTTCCATTTCCGTTGACTCCCTCGGTAAATTCAGAATATCTGACTCATTCCCTGCCAGCAGACGCTGAATCCTCATCATCTCCTTGTTCCTAACTTATCTCTTAACTATCTGCACTTCAACAGGCACAAAGGTTTTACCACTGGGACTTCAGACTCCTTCTGGAAGCAGAATTAACAAATCATAGAAGAAAATAGTGCTGATGCAGAAGAATTATTTCACATTTCAAAGCAGTGGGCCATGCCAAGGCGGCCTCCGTGTTAACGGATAAAGCCTGAACGTAGCGAACAGGATTTTTGTCGGTACCTCAGGAGGCAGAAACCTCCAAAGCACACGAGGAACTGCTCTCAGCTGCGTTTCTATAGCCTGAGGCATCTCCATTAGCTTTACGGACACGACCTTGGGCTTGCACTGCTGCAACTGAGACAGGAGCTCACCTGCAGTTTCACGCTTCCTGCTGCTCAGCTTTTTTTCCAGTTTTAAGTATGTCTGCTCTTACTTGTTTGTTGTCCTGCTGTCCTTGGTCCCACAGAACCCAAAGCGCCTTGCGCCGTGATTTCGTTTAGGTGCTGGCAGACAGCAGCAAGGTGAACGCCACATTTGGGAGTCGGTGGCTTGGCTGCCTCCCTCGGCGACGACACGCTGCTCAGACGACGCGGGGACGTTGGCCGCGTTAAGCATAGCTAAAACCGTACGAAGGACAAGTTAAAAATCCTTGTGGCATTTCTTCTCCTTCCAAGCCTCTCCCCTAGGCTTCCCCAGCAGTTCTGGCCATCGGTTGTGTCCTACAAACCGACCGGCTCTCCAGGCCCAGCCCGGCGTGGTCTGACCCGCTGCCTGGGCTCAGCTCTTCCGTTCGCAGGGCTGCACATCCAAAGCACGACACGGGGGTAGCTAGTGAGACCACACACATCTCTGTTTGCACCAAGAGAATACTAAAGACATAAGGTACTAAGAGATAAAAGGAAAAATTAAAAAAATCTGAAAATCTGCAACCTAAAGCCATCACAGGCTCTCCAGCATACAGGTAATGATTCACCACAGGAAAACAAAAAAAAGACAGCAAACCCCAGGATTTGTTTGGAAATGATTCACCCCTAAGGACCGAAGACTCATTCCTAATGCACAGCTCTTTGCTAAAAATCATGAGTTTATTCTGAAAGAAGGAGAAGGGGGGCTAGAGAGCTGCTGCGGAGCGCTTCTCCACTGGCTTTCGTTTGGGTGGCGAAAGGGAGCGGGTTTCCCCCAGCCCCGAGAGCCCAGCGGGTCACGGGGGGCGGCGAAGCGGCTCTGCCGGGGACCCCGCTCGGGGGCCA